GTGGCAGCCACTCAGCGCCACAACACCTCAATACCTCCCCCATCTGCAAGATCCCACATCGAATAGAGAGTGTTGTCCGTATCCATACGGGAGTGTTGAAACATCTGGAATGATGTTTTTGAGGACAGAGGGAAGAAGGGTAGCCCCAAGATTAGGGGATGAGAGGGAGGTGGAGGTGGAGCCGAGTGGCGGCAACGGCGGCGGTGGTAATTCAATGACGGTGGTTGAAGATACTCCAGCAAAGAGATCAAGACTGAGGCTGTTTGGTGTAAACATGGAGATGGAGGATCCAATTTCATTAACTTCTGATGAATGCGAATTATTATTGTTTTCTTCAAATTCAAACCCCAAATTGGCTTCCTCTTCGTCAAATTAGGAGTTTTTAAGGTTTTTCGTTTTGTTTTGTGTATAATAAATTAGGAAATGAATGCAAATTAGTAAGAACATTATGATAATTTCTCATTCTTTTGAAGCTTTTGTGTTTGTTTCAAATGATATCAACCCTTGCTAGACACTGCTGAGAACCCCAAAAACAAAAGCCTTTTCTCTTCATTACTTTGTTGTTCTTCTCACTGCTCCCATCCACATGCCCTGCACTTTGTTGTTCTTCGTGCTTATTTTGCATGAAATGCCATGATTTTGGAGTTATTCAATGCAATTTGAAGTTGAAGTTGGGAATTGATTTGGTATTATTATGTTTGTAGTTGGGATTAGTGCTTCAGCTTTATGTTCATTATGGTGGAAATTTATTGCCTTACCCTAAATTAAATGTGTTTCTTCTTCTTCATTTCTAGCTACTAAGTAAATGCCTTTCAAACAAAAAGAGTTACTTCTTTTTCGGTTCTTATCTTCTTCGACGTTCCATTTCTTTCTGATTTTCTCTTATCAAAGTTTAGAAATCACATCGAAAATAGTTCCTTTACAGAAATACTTATGATTAAATTACATTTTTAGTCCCTTGATTTTAAGTATCATATTAGTCTGATTCATCTATATTTTAGCATTGTTGACCTCACCGTTGATTTTAAAACCCGTCTCTTAGACAGAGTTTTACATACACTTGTAGTAAATGTTTCATTACTCCCTATCATGCCATCTCATATTTAAATTTTTAGTAAATAAAAAAAATCTATAAATATAGAAATCAAATGGAAATTAATGTTAGAATTACACTTATTAAGAAATATAATTTTTATATATACTTGTTTTAAATAGCCTTAGGAACCCATTTATTTTTATACAAATTTAGTTTTTAATTTTATAAATTTATAAATGACTATATATCTTATAAATCAATCATTATTTTTTTAAAAAAATTTATAAATATAGTGACCAAATAAAGAAAATTTTAGAAGTATCATATGTTAAACATGTTATGATGTGAATTATAATATTCGATCTAATCTATACATCTTTACATAATCGAATTCGATTCCTCATTTAACTTTGCGGCAAGAACATTCAATCCTGGCGTTTAAATTTGTTCTGTTTCTCTAAGAAATTGTACTTTTCATTCATAATTATTAAAAAAAAAAAAAAGAGAGTAATATTGGATGTCGTTTTCCTTAATTTCTCATGATTTGAAATAAAAAACAAAACAGGAATATATTCACCTCGACATTACCACTTGTCACAGTTGTACACTCACTCTCAACACCGAGTGAGTCAAGCCAATTTATATTCGCATCATTTACGTCCAGACAACGTATACTCAAGCTTTAGTCTTATTATGAAAATAAGGTTTTAGAAAACGGGAGCAAAGAAGGTATATGACTATAAGCAAAAGTCAACCCAACGACTTAAATAACATACAAATTCTCGGCACGAAAGAGGGCAAAATCAACAACCCATTTTGTGATTGATACTTGGACAAATTATGATTGTCCCAAACACCATATCTCTGTCAGCTTTGAGGGCAAAATCATTGCTTTTGCCAACTCTTATTTTGAAAGACAGTGAAGAAACGCACAACAAAACCCACACAGTTTCTTTCAAAAAAAAGTTTGGACATACCTACCGTACATATGGATTAAGTTGGAGAAATCTTTTAGACCCTACTCGAAATTTTGGGTTGGATTAGTGACTTAAACACCAAGAATAGAAGAGTCCATAAACTAACTCTAGTCGACCTCTATTTTTAGGTTGGATTGTAACTCTATATTTTCCAGTTGGTCTGGTTGACTCCAAAAAATGTCAACTTGCTGGAGTTTTTCAAAAATTTATCCCGAACTCAAATGAAAAAAAAATAATAATGACCCTAATTAAATTGGGTAGTAATTTTATGAATACCCTAATTATACCAAATTCTAGTGTAGATATTTAAAGAGGGGATAAAATTAAAACGTTTAGAATATTATTTTTAAGCAATAATTGAAACTGGCTTTTGTACAGTCCTTTTAAAGTATGGTACGGACCATTATTAATTGAATGGAATAAAGAAAATACAGAGGAATCAAATTAAAAACTTAAATTTAAATTTGGAAAAGAAATTAAATTCTATGTTTTGTAATTGTTCTACCTGCCCACAACTGTTTTTTAGTTTAGCCATCGTTAATGTCTGAGATAATTGTCAGCTTTAGTCCATTAGATATCGTTATTAGTCTCATAGTTTTAAAACGCATCTATTAGGGAGAGTTTTTTTGTGTTTTCCACATGAAGGAATGTTTCATTCACCTCTCCGACCGATGTGGGATTTCACAATTCATCCACTCCCTTGGGAGCTAGCGTTCTCGCTGACACACCGCCCAGTGTCTGACTCTGATACCATTTATAACATCCCAAATCTACTACTAGCAGACATATTATCTACTTTGGTCTGTTACGTATTCCCAAATCTCAGTTTATTTTTATACCTCTCTTTTACTAGGAGACATAATTGAGGAACCCTATTCTTCTTCTTCTTGAAATAAGGAATAAAGAAGGATGAAGAGAATTAAATAGCACACAAAGGAAAGAAAGAAAGAAAGATAGCCACAAAGTTGTGAACGTAATTAATGAGAGCACAGAGATGAATAAAAGCAATAACAAACCACTGACATATGGTAACTGGGGGTTCTTCTTTTTTGGAGTAATGTAAGCAGTGATGAAAACGGAAGACAATGCAGAAACCAAAATGGGGCGAAAGCCAAATGGTTTGATGGTACCATGGATGGACCACCACTCACAGGGTATCATTCTGTTTAATCTATGAACTACGGCCGCCTCATCCACAAATCTAGGACACCCAACACAACAACAAACAACACGCCAACCAAAAATGGTGTTGGTCTTAGTTGAAATGAAGTGAGTCTATATTGGCATCTCTGGACAAAAAGAGAGTAAAAGGAGACATTGCATTTAACAATGACACTGCAAAGCGTGGCAGCCGATCCCATATACATTCATTCATTCATTCATACATACACAAAAGCTTGACATGACAGCGACCCATCATCTTCCATCGCCAACCAAACAACAAAACCCTAATTCCACCGAAGATCAAAATTTTTAATTTACTTTATGTATAATGTCTGCGTTTTGTTTAAAGCTGACCCATTTCAAAAAGAGGGGTTATTAATAAATGCCTCACAGGCTCACATTTTGGTGTTCTTCATTTCTAGGGTTTGGACCATTTTTTAATCCTATGCTCTATCTTCTTCGTAACATTAAATCTTCAGCTCTTCACTTTTCGTACTTCTCAATACAAAACTTGCTTTCTTTAAATTTTCTTTTGAACGGGTTTGTCGAGAATTATTGAGAGAGGAGCCCCACATTGGATAATTAAGGAGAGGATCCTGAGTTTCCTTCTTGAAAAACAAAAAACAAAGTCATGAGTACTTAGGCTCAAAGTGAACAATATCATACCATTGTGGAGAGTCGTGGTTTCTAACATGCTATCAGAGACATGCTGTTAACTTAGTCATGTTGTCAATAGAAGGAATTGAGCCTCAATTAAGAGGAGGTTCTATGGTGTATGATGTACTTTGTTTGAGAGAATGCTGTCTCAATTGGTATGAGGTCTATTAGGGAAACCAAAATCAAAGTTTGAGAGCATATCATTTGTGGGGTTGGGTCACGAAAATTGAAGCGAGACCCAAGACCCAATCCCTTCCCTACTCTATTCAAAACGAGTCCCGAGTAAAAATCTCTTAACAAATTCACGTATTAACTAGTGGAAAAAAATTAATTTTAACCTTTTTTTTTCTATTTATTAAAATTAAAAAATATATTAAACACATTCTAAAAGTATTAATTTTTATTTGTTTAAGTAATCTTAATCACTGAGCAAGAAGGCCACCATCCCTTAAGTCACAACCCAGTTGGGTGCCAAAAAGGGTCCAAATGGAGACCCAAAGAAGAGATCAAAGGGACAGCCCTAAACTCAGTGATCCTAACCCTGACAACATAACCAGAAACCACCCCAGTTTTAATCCTATGCAGCCGCTTATACCCAACGCTGCTCTCATCCACAATCTTCTTTCCATCCAAATAAATCTCATGCCGTCTGATCCTCTGACCAAGTCCTATGGCTTCTTGGATCCTTATCACATTGAATCTCAGCGCTTGATTCTGCTGACTTCTGATCTCAATCCAATGCTCACGGGCAGCATCAGCATCAGCTTCCACGGGTGCCCAATAAGTCCATAAGTGGTCACTGTCCAACACATTTTCAGGCCCAAACCCTCCCTCTTTGCCTCCCCTTTGGCTACTGGCTTTGACTGAGCAATTGTGAGCCAAGTTAGTGGTGAAAATTGTGTCAATGGCTGCCTTGAATTGCTTGAGGGTGTCGGCGTCTTCTTGGGCTATTAGACCTGTGGAATTGGGAGGCACATTGACGAGAAGAACACAGTTTCTTCCCACTGAGTTATAGTATATTTTTAGGAGTTCATTTAAGCTTTTTGGGGACTCTGATTTGTGCCAAAACCATCCCTTTCTTATGGATACATCACATTCTGGTGGTACCCAATGTGTCCCTTTTGGGTCACCTTTGTTTAGGTACCTGCCATTCAAAATTTCAAACGGTGAATCTTTCGACTTTTCCTTTGGAGATTTTTCTCAAAGTTTTAAAACGTGCATGTTAGGGAGCGGTTAAATGTTTCTTTTCCGTCTCCAATTGATGTGGGATCTCAGAACCCACCATTTTCCAATCGATCTGTGATCTCACAGCCCATCATTTTAGGGGCCGAGCGTCGGCACACCGTCCAACACTAATGTGGGATTGGCCCAATGCTGATGTGGGATCTCACAATCCACTCCCTTGGGGGCCGAGCATCGGCACACCGCCCAACACTGATGTGGGATTGGCCCAATGCTAACGTGGGATCTCAAAATACACTCCTTGGGGGCAACTGAGGAGAGGTTGAATGTTTCATTCCCCTCTTCAATTGACGTGGCATCTCACAGTCCACCCTTTTAGGAGTCAGCATCCTCATTGGCACACAATCCGATACTAATGTGGAATCTCACAATCCACCCCCGTAGGCGCTCAGCGACCTCACTGACACATTTCTCGGTGTTGATGTGGGATCTCGATCCACTCCAAGAGTTAGCATCCTCGCTGGCACACCACTCCGTGCTGATGTGAGATCTCACAATCCACCTTTTTAAGGGCCAACGTCCTGGCACATTGCCTGGTGCTTACGTGAGATCTCACAATTTATTCTCCTAGGGGCCAACGTCCTCGCAGGCACGCTAGCTGGTGTATGGCTCTGATACCCTTTATAATAGCTCAATCACATATATTGTCCTCTTTGGACTTTTTCGGGCTTTCCCTCAAAGTTTTAAAACGCATCTACAAAGATTTTCACACCCTCGTAAATAATGTTTTGATATCCCACAAAAACACTTACTCGGAAATGCCTTCTGCTCCTATGGCAAGCAAAGTTCGGTTGATCGTCGACCAGCACGGCGTCCCTGCAAACCCTTTCTCGTTTCCAACCCATCGGACATCCGGTCCAGCATCGGAAAATATGTTGATGGAGCTTTGCAACTCCTTCACCATTGCAAACCAGTCCGAGAAGTAATACGACATGTTTGGAGCATTCTGGCCTTTGGCTCCATCAAACCAAATCTCCCTCACATTCCCATATCTAAAATAACATTAAAACACAAGAGGTTAGATAAAGCACAAATTTTTATGATTCTGAGCTAAATTGGGTTAATCTCACTTGTTGAGAAGCTCTTGTAATTGGGCCAAGTAGTACTCATTATAAGGCAAATCATGGCTATATCTCCGATCATGCCGATCCCACGGCGACAAATACAGCCCAACATCGACGCCGTGGGCGGCGGCAGCGGTGACAAACTCCTTAACGACGTCTCCTCTGCCGTCCTTCCAAGGGCTTCGGACGACGGAGTGGGTGGTGTATTTGGAAGGCCAGAGGCAGAAGCCGTCGTGGTGCTTGGCGGTGAGAATCATGAGGGAAATTCCGGCGGCGGCGGCAGTGGCAGCCCATTGGGCGGCGTTGAGAGAAGTGGGGTTGAAGAGGGCGGGGGACTCAGCGCCAGTGCCCCATTCGGAGTCGGTGAAAGTGTTGGGTCCAAAGTGGAGAAACATGATGACTTCTCTCTGTTGCCATTTCAATTGGGAGAAGGAAGGGAGTGGGAGGATTGGCAATGGCGGCGGAGTTGAGACCTCGAGCTTGGGAGAAGAGAAATGGAGGATATGGAGCAATGTGAGGAAGAAGATGGAGGAAAAAAGATGACCCTTTTCCGCCATGGACGGTCTCGTGAAGCTGTTTTGTGTGTGTGTTCTTTAAGCAGAGGAATGTGACAGAAACGGTGAGGAGTGGGAAATTGAGGTAGTGGATAGTGGGGTTGGTCTGTGGGGAAGATTCTTTTGCATATATGAACAATTGTATCACAATCAAAAGTTGTTTCACTGTGAATTCAAGAATCCACAGAAAAAAAAACGACTAATCTAGCATTTCTTAGTCATATTATCCTCATAATCGCTCTCGATATGATCTTGGTTCATTCCTACACTCCTCATTTACTCGAGTGTCACATAAAAAAATTGAAATCTAGAACAAAAAAAAAAAAAATCTCCGATCACTTTAGCTCGTGACGTATTGTCGTCAACCTCACAGCTTTAAAACACGTCTACAATGGACAGGTTTCCACACCCTTAATGATTCGTTCTCCTCCCCAACCAACGTGTGATCTTACAATTTACCCCTTCAACCAACTATGGGATCTCAAAATTCATATTCTTAGAAGTCCACGGTCGTTGCTGACACACAGCCTAGTGTCTAGCTCTAAAATCATTTGTAACCGTTCATGTCTACCACGAGTAAATATTGTCATTTTTTACTAACTTAGTCAACCTCATAATTTTATAACGCGTTTACTGGGGAGAAATTTTCACACTCTTATAAAAAAAAAAAATGTTTCATTTTACTCTCCAACTCCGTCTAACTTCAATCGAGTCGATAAATTTTTACGCAACCTAGTAAAAGGTAAGAATGAAGTGAAAAGGGTTGGGTGAATGTGACAGCCAGTCACGGGGGGTTTGGAATGTGGTTCGCTCGTGAAGGATCCCACAAATTTTCAAATTAAGTCCTTTTAATTTTACTTTTTTTTTTTTTATTTACTAAAAATAACCGCAATGAATGAATGAATGCTTGTTTTGATTCTCTTAATCAATTATTGTAGTGCATTTGATCGGTCATGATTTTAATGACCCCACAACCCATTCATTCCAGGTTTGAATTCCCATAATCAATAATCATATTTAAAATAAAGTTTTTAAATTATAAATTATAAATTATATAACTATATGATCAGTTAATTCAATCGACTCGAATTATTAAAAAATTAATTTAATTTAATGTTTGTGTAAAAGAGGTTAGTGATTTGTAAATGTTTGATATTTAAAGTTTATGACATTTTCTATGAGATCCCACTTCGGTTGAATTGGTGTACGAAACATTTCTTATAAGAGCGTGAAAATCTCTCTCTAATAGACGCGTTTTAAAATTGTGAAACTGACACTGATATGTAACGAGCCAAAACAAATTAGAGATTTTCTTGGAATAGTGGCTTTGAGGAAAACTTTTTCTTTTTTGATAATGAAATGTATTGATATTCATATCATTTATAAACCTGGCCTATCTATACCAATGTGGACCATATTCATAATGTTCATCGTTCATATCTTCATTTCTAATAAGCCTATTACTAAACAATATTGTTATATCACGATCCGTTCACTAAACAACAAATCTCTTTACTATAGTCCCCACTAAAAAGAATATTACTATTTAAAGCCAAATATGCTCGGTTAATTTTAATATCTTATCCTAATTTCCTCTCTTTATGAGCTTTATCACCATCTACAAGAATGGACGATTATAATTACTGAAAACACAGAAGTCACTTCATATACCGTTGGTAAATTCTCAAATAAATGTTGTTTTTTTTTGTATTTTTTATGTTCTTTTAAACTTTAGAAATCAACTTTTAATTTCAAATTAAACTTCTCTATCTGATAAACTTTAAAGTATATTAAAGACAAATTTGATTCCGAATTAAAATTTTATATCAAACATCTTTAAATCGCATCCATATAAAACTTTTTTATTAAAAAAAAAAGATTATTAAATTCTTTGACACAAAGTTCAAATTTTAAATATTAAATGTTTTTTTTCTGGAGTTTGGACAAAAAAAAAAAAAATGACTGAAGCTCACGTTTTTATCATTTTCTTAAAAAAGATTGAACTTTATTATTTTCTTCAAAAAAAAAAAAAAAAATGTGACGAATTGAAAAAATAAATTAAAAAAATTAATAGGTGCATGAACTAAGATCATATAAGTAATAAAATGTAATATTCGAGTAGAATAGTGGTACATAAATTAACTGAGATAATATTCGAGGAATATTAACTTAAAAAAAAAATTAAGAATACTATTTAATTTTATAAAATGTTTAAAAAATATCTTTGAAGTTTTTAAATTTTTGTTAATACTTTTAAACATTAAAAAAATGAAAAATAATATATTTACTTTTACTACAATTTTAAAAAAATACTCATAAACTTTCAAAAATACTATTAAAAATGAATGAACTTTTTAGTTTTATAATAAACTTCAACCAGATTAATGAATTTTTTTTTAAATTCAAAGATATTTTCATGACATCATTAAAATTCAAAAGTTTGAGATATTTTTTAGATTTTTATTGAAATTTAAGAATATGACTATTTATAAAAGAAAATAATATATACAGCTTTTTATAGCTTTTTAAGTAAAAGAAAAAAATTCAGTATATTGTCCATTACAAGTGGAAAAAAAAGACTTGAATTTTTTAATTCAAAAAGTTGGGAGCCAATCATTTTCTTCTTATCCACGTATTTAATATTTAACTACTTAACTACTTTCCACGTATTTTTAAAACTTTGAAAATAACTATTAATGTAAAAGCTTACGTATACCGGAGTGTAATCATATATTATTATTAAATACTAATAAATTGTATTTATGCAAATAATATATATATATATATATATATATATATATATATATACTTTTTTTTATTTTGTTGATAAAAGGGGTATCCGTTATAAAAAAAAATTAAAGCAATCCATATTACCTGAACTATCAAAAAAGAATGTGTCTCGTGTTAGTATAAATAGTTTATTTTGTTTCTTTTGAGTTTTTTATGTATTCATTTTGTCCTTAAGCATCACACGAGGTTAAAATATTGATAAGGTTACACATTTATTTATTAAAAAAAGGAACGTGGATGGATGGAGTCTATCCACGTACCCTTAGTGACTGCTTTTTTTTTATTTTTTTTTACTTAAATTATTTTATTTATTTGTTATAGGATATTACAAAAATGAACTTGAAAATAAAGGAAAGAAGAAAGAAGTAGATAAGGATGGGGGAGCGCCCATGGTTTTTTTTTTTTCTGTCTTTTTTTTTTTTTTTTTTTTTTACTTTA